GCATTTTTTTTTTTAAAGTTTTGAATAGTTTCTAGGTTACACTGATAGGAAATGCCCTGTGGTAATTCTTAAGATATTAACTGAACTCATTAATTGTAGACTGGTAGTTGCCAAGATCAAATAGTAACCTCTCTGTGTACTCAAGAGGATTGGAAGGAAGGTTTAGAATATAAGAAAGAGCTGTTGGACAAAGTATGATGGCAGAAATAGATAGATTCAATTTCAAACTGTTATAGCTCTATTAGGTGAATGGGAGGAAGGGAAAGTGTGAGTGCAGGAATGGGGGAAGGAACCAAAGGAGTTGTATAAAAACCCCAAAGGAGGAGAAGAGCACCGAGGGACTCGAAAGAGAGTCACATCTTTACCTTCATCTTCCATATTGGAAAGCCAAAAGATAATATCTAAAAGTGCAAAACCAAGAAAGAGCAGCGTAAACAGGATTTTAGAAATTCAGAGGTAAACACCCAGAAACAGCTAAATTTGGGGTGGTGAACACAACACACTGTACAATATATAGATGATGTATTATAGAATTATATACCTGAATCCTATATAATTTTATCAACCAATGTCACCCCAATAAATTCAATAAATATATTTTAAAAATAAAATGATAAAATAAAACAGAATAAAAGACTTGACAACTGCTTCTGGAGAATGAGACTGACGTGGAGAAGCACAAAAAAATTGCTATTTTTTTCACTTAAAATCTTAAAGCATTTAAAATAAATCTTAAAGCATTTTTGGCTTTTCAACTATACTCATCTATTATTTGATAAAAATTAAATTGAAAAAATCTAGCATTGCAAATATCGATTTTTGTTCATTTGGTGAAAGTTATTTCACAGTAACATTTTTCTTGTCTCTGTGAAAAGCCACAGTCTGACTCCCCAAAAAGTACACTACAGAATGAAAAGCAGTCATTAAAACCCAGCAGCACTGCTAACTGTTCCTTGCCACCTTCTAACCTTTTGTAAAAAAACAACAACAACAAAAGGCAGAGGTGGATGGTGCATGGGGGAGAAAACCATATATCCAGCTGCCAAAAGGGCTTCACCCACCAGAAAGGCAGCTCCCCCTATAGTGGTCCACCTGGGGCCATTCTGGGTATCCTATGGGGAGAAGGATACCTAGCCCAGAGAGCCACAGCATCCTGCATATGCTCCCTGGTTCAGCATCTCTTGGTTACTCTCCAGGCATCAGGATCAGGGCATTACAGGTTTTGGACATCTTTCTAGAGCATTTAGAATTTTCAAAACGTCAAATGTTGTGGCATTAAAAACAGGGTAAATAAAGACCTTTAAGTGGGTAAAGAAGACTGAAAATTAGTGTTTCTGTTTTTACTTCTAAGTCCAGTTTAGCTATAAATACTATTTCTTACAGAAAGAAATGTCTCGATGTTCTCGTGGACGAAGGACGCGATATCCTGCCAGTCCAGAATGTCTCCCAGCCAGCTGTTCTGCCGGTTTATATGCATCTTGTGTCCTTTGTGCCTCCCAGAGTGCGTGACGTTCTATGGAAAAAACAGTTCAGACGTGAAACCTCCATCTTAAGCTCAAGAACAGAAAGTATAAATAACCTCTTTTGGTTTAGGTCCACTTGAGCACTTTAATAAATACACAAAAGTGAAAAACTTTGCATTATTTAAGAAATCAATTAAGAACTCCACCTAAAGACCTAAAAGATAGTATTTTTCTGTTAATATGCTAGTTACTGAGTCTCAGCCTAGCTTGAGTGCTTTTCTCCTCAGTACATTTGTGGACACACTTTACTCCTCAGTGTATATTCAACTGTACACAAACACAGCATTTACTTTTATTATTTCCCCCCTTTTAATCCCTCTGCCTTTTTTTTTTGCTCTCTCTCATTTTTGCTTTCTTCCTCCTTTCCTCCTCTCCCTTATTAATCTTCTGTACAAGATAAAGAGGGCAGAGGGAACAGAAAGAATATGAAAAAAAGATCACCTAAAACTAATACAATGTTATGTGTCAATTATCTATCAATAAAGCAGTGTGTGGGGGGGGGGGAGAATATGAAAAAGAAACAAGAGGGGAGTCTAACTTGTCTGTCTGGAAGAGAACTGCATTGCCAGGAATGCAGGAATAACTAGGTTTGAAAGAGCTATGAATAAAGAATTTCACCGGTTTATTTTTGTTTTTTTAACATGGCCACTAGAAAAACTAACATTAGGCGGCTTGCATTACATTTCTCCTACCCAGAGCTAGTTTAGATGATGAGAGGCTGTAGATGATAACGAACAGATGACAGAATACTGATACAGCAGAGGGACTGGTGGACTCTGCCATGGAGATTAACCATCAATCACTTTGACTTTTTGTGGCCTAAGGTTTAAGACCCTGTAGCTTAGAAATGTCAATAAGTGAAATTCCAGTATTACTAAAGTCCTACTTAGTCATTGGGTCTATAAAATAAAAGGACTTTATTAGTTTACCATTGAAATCCTTAGCTAAAATAACTTACCTTTACAAACCAAGAATGATACAGTCTGTCCCAAAGTTCTAGTACCTGCTTTTCAATCACAGCAGTATTGTTCACCTTATCTCCAAGAATTTTATGAAGCTGGAAGAAATACAGATATAATCTGATTTAATATTCCAGGCAATAACCCAGTAAAATGAATACATGCTGGGTCTTTACATTTGTTCCAAATCAAACTGAAATGCTCCAGACTATTTAATTGCCTCTAGCCACACAATGTTCTTTTCATAAACTTTGCTCCTCAATATTCCCAGTAAATTTCCTCCCTCTCGTCTTTTGCTTCTTTTTTCTTTCCTCTATCCTTAGGTCTCAAGGAGAGTTACTTCAAACTGTAAAAGAAGGGTACACATAAAGCCACGACTACCGGCATCTCTGATCATATCTGCACAGAGGAAAATCTTTCCATGTGACCCCAGTGCCCACCCATTATATTGAAGTCTCATGTTACATTTATCATATTATTGAGAATTGCCACAGAACTTTAAGTGGCATTTTAGAACCCTAGCTATAAACACAAATATGCCTGTTAGTTTGCTGAGAGATGTCAGGTCTCAGAGTAAGGCATTTCGCCAAACCTGAATAGGATACATTAAATTGATTCTTGGCTGCCAGACAGTTAAAGGGCATCTTTTTTTTTAAAATATATTTTATTGATTTTTTACAGAGAGGAAGGGAGAGAGATAGAGTATTAGAAACATCGATGAGAGAGAAACATCGATCAGCTGCCTCTTGCACATCCCCCACTGGGGATGTGCCCGCAACCCAGGTACACGCCCTTGACCGGAATTGAACCTGGGACCTTTCAGTCCCCAGCCAACGCTCTATCCACTGAGCCAAACCGGTTTTGGCTAAAGGGCATCTTAATCTACATGTTATTGCCTCCTACTGGCCAAACACCTGAACAGCGTAGGCTAATTCCCCCAATCTGACAATGGACTCTGTACCAAACCCTGACCCTTTGAAGTGTATATCTCTGCCTCGCCTCAGGACAAGTTGTGTTGATAAAAAGCATGGGGTGCTGGGGATGAGGAGAACCTGAGACCTTAGATTTAAGACCCCCAATGCCTTACAAAATTATATTTCGCCTCCGGACTCTTTATTAGTCTCTGAACTCCTATGTAATCTACGCACAGCCTTCTCCAGATTGCTGAACGCTTCTTGATGCTGGGACAAGAACCCCGGCAATACACAATATTATCCTTATTTCTAATAGTAAGATAAATGTGCAAGAGTCAAAGGAAATGAGCATTTTTAATGGTTCTTGCATTGTTAAATATAAGGATTGTACCAATTAACACTTTCCAACATTGTCTAAGTCAGGGGTTCTCAACCTTGGCTGCACATTAGAATAACCTGGGAATCTTTTTAAAATCCTGATTTCTGGGCCTCATCCTCCAGAAATTCTGTTTCTTTGTTATGGGGTGGGGCCACAACATTAGTAACAAAGAAACAGAATTTCCAGAGGATGGGGCCCAGAAATCAGGATTTTAAAAAGATTTCCCAGTGATTCTAATGTGCAGCCAAGGTTGAGAACCACTGGTCTAAGTGAACCAATTTTCCCAAAGCCTTATGGATAACTGATTTTTAGATAATTTATAAGGTGTGAAGTGATAACTGATTATTTATACTTTTCTTCTTTAGCAACAAGAATGACCATTTTCCATTTTGGTTTTCAATGTGTATTTCCTTTAGTGTGGCCTATTCATACTTTTTGCCCACTTGATGCTGGCCTTATAGATGCTTAAACCAGTTGTTAGACATATCTGATGCAAATACATCTGCCCAATGTTGTTCTTTTTTTTTTTTTAATATATATTTTATTGATTTTTTACACCAATGTTGTTCTTTATATTTAACTGATTTATTCAAACACAACTCTGTGAATATCAAAGCCTTCATCTGTTCATCACATTGTACAATTTACAAATGGCTTTCACCTACGTTATGTGATCTTTACAACAACTCCATGAGTTAGACGGAAAGTAGTTTTGGCATCTCCTTTATTCATTTGAGAAAACAGATTTAAAAAGGATCTATGACAGGCTCAGAATTACACAGACAAGTGGCAGACTCAGGATGAAAAGTTCTCTCATAGTCTTTCAACTCAAGCCTATATAACCTACGAACAAAGTACACCTAATAGAGCAAATTACCCAAAATAATTAAAACCACAATTACCCTAGGCTAACTTCCTTTCATTTCTTTAAATGTGTCTTTTGCATAGTATGACTGTCAGGGACTCACAGACTTCCTATTCCCAATTCTTTCTGTCACTTTCCTATCAGCCCGTGAAGTCTCCCTGGAACCAGAGGAGTTCTACAATTTAGGTTACTGACAGCCCCTTTTCTAGATTGTCGGCACAGTGGCCTTTACTGCAATAAAGAACCATTTCTAACTGGCATCTCCTCCAGCAGGCTCACTCCAAGCACGACAGGGAATAACTAACTATAACAGTAAAGGAGAGTTCAGCACAATTTTATAGCATGTTATAAAACTGGGAAGACGGGGCCAGAGCGCACGGAGTCTACTAACAGGATCACGGAAGCACACATACTGTGGGTGGGTTGTGACATGCTCTTTGCCCAAGAAGAACAGTAAAGCATTAAGGGCAGTCACAATGCCATTTGAGAACTGACTGACTTGAGGCGAATAGCCTCACCTATGAAATGGGGATGACAAGTCAGTACTCATCTTGTGTGAAGCCTTAGCTGGCTGGCCAAGTCTTCCTTGAAACATTTTCTTCTCTAGGCCCCTGTGACATACAGTTTGGGTTTCCTCCTACCTCACAGGCTACTCCTTCTGTCTTCTTTGCCCCTGAGAACCTTATTTGACTACCAAGCTTAGTGACATTCCTTCCTAGTGCACAAATAATGAGTCAGATCCACCTCGAACAAGAAGCAATGGCCAACTTCTGAGCTTGCTCAGGCTACTAGCACTATTCAGTATGATCATGCACAAGGCTAATTTCACTGTATGTTGCTTGTCGACTTGTAGATATAAACCTGTTTGCAAACGGAAATTATGCTTTATCGAAGCAAGAAATCACTGCCAATGAAGAACTTGCAAAGGGAAATCCACAAAGAGAGGCTCTTCCCTTACCTTGTGGGTTATCCATTCTCGTCCATACTGATACACATTGTTAGCTGCAGAATTGAGGGCTCTTTGGACTACCTGAGCCTCAGGAAGCCAACTGATTTAAATAAAGAAAGAAAATGAACAATTAGCACACTTTCAGAGTACTGCACCCATAATTTTTGAACTTGATGTACTTGAACAATCAGGAACTAACAAACTCATGAACAGCCATTAACACAGAAAAACAAATGAGTCACACACAGGAATCCTTGACTTACAGGCCTAATTGGCCTAATTCTAATATTTGGGATTTATTGTCAAGCCTTCCTTATCTTTTGTATCCACTTCCCCACAACCTCTCTCTCATTCTGCTCTGCCGGGTTTCTCTGTCCCTCCAGCCCTGGGTCACCTGCCTTATTCACACAGCACCAGAGGAAGTAGTTCTGGGACAATGATGGTCAGCATCTGGAACGCACAATGGTGGTTTTCAAACTGTGGTCCACGGACCTGCAGCATCACAACTGCTTAGAAACCTGGCCTAAACTCAGACCCACTGAAAAAGAAACTCTGGGGCTAGAGCCCAGCAATCTGTATCTAAACAATTCTCTTAACTGCTCCTCACAATGTTATGTACTAGAGATGCTGACATGCACATATTGGTTTGAATCTTTAATATTAACGAGTTCATCATACACTCCACAGAAAGAAAATACTTGTGAAGCTTTTTGCAAATTCTCAGTCAGTTCAAGTACTTCTCAGCAAGTAAAACTTTAGAGATACTTATAAATGTAATAATCTTACAGTATAAGAATCTGAACAGGAAATTTGAATCTCTAAAGAGATGTGATTTGGGAGAAATTAATTTAAGTAGCTTTTAAATTACTCTAGGATTTACAGACTTAAAGTGTTTTGAAGGGTCTGTTGAACACTTTCAATTATATAATACTACATTTTTATGGGAAAACTATAGAGGCCAGATGCACGAAATTCATGCAAGAGTAGGCCTTCCTTCCCCTGGCTGCCAGCACTGGCTTCCCTCTGGCACCCGGGACCCAGGCTTCCTCGAAGCCCTGGCTTCGTCTGGAAGGTCGTCCAAAGGACATCCAATCCAATTAGTACAGTGGTTCTCAACCTGTGGGTTGCCAACCTGTGGGTCTCGACCCCTTTGGGGGTCGAACGACCCTTTCACAGGGGTCGCCTAAGACCATCGGAAAACACATATATAATTTCATATTATTTTTGTGATTAATCACTATGCTTTAATTATGTTCAATTTGTAACAATGAATATACATCCTGCATATCAGATATTTACATTACGATTCATAACAGTAGCAAAATTACAGTTATGAAGTAGCAAAGAAAATAATTTTATGGTTGGGGGTCACCACAACATGAGGAACTGTATTAAAGGGTCGCAGCATTAGGAAGGTAGAGAACCACTGAATTAGCATATTATGCTTTTATTATTATAGAATATATCCTGTAGAGATACTCGAAAGTGTGAGGATCTGTAGAGGCATCCAGATAGGTCCTTAATAACTAACAAACATCTATTAGGCCTGATAACAAGTCTTGCTGGTTTCAGTGGAAACACTTGACCAATGTACTCACACAGGTATCATCACAGCAACAGATAAGTGGAGCTATCCTGAGGCCAAGTCAAAGACATATATGTGTGTGTGTGTACGTGTGTACCTGTGTGTGTGTGTGTGTGTGTGTGTGTGTGTGTGTGTGTGTATGCAGTAGCAACACTACATGGGCCACAAACACCTGAGCAATCTTGGGACCAACTGATCGTACACCAACCACAGCAGTGGTTCTCAACCTTCTGGCCCTTTAAATACAGTCCCTCATGTTGTGACCCAACCATAAAATTATTTTCGTTGCTGCTTCATAACTGTAATGTTGCTACTGTTATGAATCATATGTAAATATCTGATATGCAGGATGGTCTTAGGTGACCCCTGTGAAAGGGTCGTTCAACTGCCAAAGGGGTCGCGACCCACAGGTTGAGAACCGCTGAACTACAGCCTCTATGTTGAGCTCCTTCATTAGGATAGTCACTACCTCAGTGAATCACTAATTCTACTCTGAGTGGAAACCAACTTCTTACATTTTGGACTGGTCTGCCCTCACCTTTCTGGGTAAAAGTTAATCTATTTCACAATATGAACTTCCAAGAGAACAGCCCCAACAATTATACAGAAGTAAAGGGAACTTTCTAACATACCATGTGGCCCCTCAAGTTCTGATATACTTTCTAGTCAGTAGAAAGTAGAAAGTGGGTTCCAGACTAATAGAATTGTCCAAGACAAGAATGAAGATGTGATCTGACTGCATTTTCTTTGAAGCTCTGCTAGGGTGACCCTACCCTAAGTCTTCTAATTTATCCACCAGCTCACCAAGCACATCCACAGGAAGCCAGGGCACCTACACAGGACTTATAAAATGTGCTCCATATTGGAAGAAAGTATATCAAATGGATTCTTAACTGTATCCCCTCTAGGAACATCCACAGAATTTCTCACAAGGTCAATCGCCTTCATCAGGACAGGAATCTACTGAATACTGAGATGTGCAAGAAGCCATTACTATTAATGCATATTCGTCCTCACTAATTAGCTGCCAAAGAATCAGACCTTTCATGAAACAGCTTTTTAAAACTCTCCTACATGGAATGGTACTTGATCAGAAACACTGGATGTGAGGGCTGACTCTGCTGATAGATTATAATTTCAAGTTCCTTAGCCTTCAATCCTATTTCCTCATCTGTAAAATGGATATAATCTCTTCAACCTACTGCACAGTCACTGGGAGGAAGACAGGTCCCAAAGCAGGTGAAAGGACTTTGTAAATTATAAACATGCTATGAAGTGTAACTCTCAATTCAGATATAAGGTATCATTTACTATAACTTGTTTCCAAAATCTTAAGCACTTCCCCACCAACCCTTCTCCCAGATTACAGGCAATTCTTTTGCAAAAATGACAGCATTCATCAAAGCTTTAGCAAACCCTATCTTTTCTCTTCCAAGGCAATGCATCAATGAAGACTATTTCATGCAAACAGATACTGAACGGAGGTCATCCAACTCTATTTTTGTCGTTGTGAAACAATATTCTTACTTTGCCCACTCAGGGTGATTTGCTAGAGTTTCATTAATCAAACTACTTGTGACTTCAATCATGTGCACACTTTCTTGATGTACCTGCATCACAAATGAGATAAAAAGAATCTCAATAAAAAATAAACCCAACTAAACATTTATCCTTCTACATTTATTTTTCTAATTTTCTATTTACTTATTCTCCCAATTATTATTGGAGCAATATTTTTGAGTCAGATAATTATACATCTTAGTTGCAGTTAATTTAGAAATATGCATTGAACAGCTGCTACATAATATTCTATCACACACACTATGGAAAATAAAATGTACATAATAGGTCCCTGCCTTCAAGAAGCTCAACAATTTACTTAAGCAAAAAATATGTAAACAGATACATACAAATACACATATACACAATAATATATATAGTTCACGTGTGTATAGTGTAAGTATATGTGTAATCCATATAATGCATGTGTCTGTATGTACATATACACACACACACACATATATGTGTGTGTGTGTGTGTGTTGGATTCAAACATGGGAACATGTCATTTTAAAGAAAAGATCATCTTTCCTATTAAACATTCCTTTGGGATTATGCCCATAGAAACAATTTATTCCTATGGGCATTAGGTTAAAAAAAAGAGATTAAAGAATTATAATACAATGCAAGATACACAGGCAAATATAAGCAATTGAGTAAGGTTTCTGAGTAATAAAAAAAACAAAACAACAGAAACTACTCCAAATTTACCTTGCCCAATAATCAGCAAAATGAGGGATTAAAAACAGGAACAAGCCCATGTGAGGAAACAGGCCGTATATGACTTCACTTTGTTTAAATTAGCATTCTGAGCGTATGATTTATCCTAGTGAGTATTCCGTATTTACTTGAAAAGAACAAGATTCTGCTACTGTCAGGTCACACTGACTGTTTTTCAAGACTTGTTTATTCTTACTAATTTTCTACCTATTTATTAGAGAATTGTTGCAAGAGGAGTATTAGTCAATTCCTACCTATAATCTTTGATTTGTCTATTTCTCCTTCTAATTCTGAATATTTTGCTTCATGTATTTTAGAGCTATCGTTAGAATATACACATTCATAATTGTTGTATCTTACTGCAGTACTGCTTTATCATTATTTGTGTGTAGTGAGATTTCTTGTTTTAATTGCTTGATATTAATATAACCACACCAGATTTATTATGTTTATAGTTCTCATGGTGTATCTTTTTAAAAATCCCTTTACTATCAAATCTTTTAATGCCTTTGAATTTAAAATGTATCTCTTTATAGATACCATTTAGTTGGGACAATGATATTCATTGATGAGATGAAAGAGGAGTGTTAAGAACTGAATGTCTGCATTCCCCTAAATTCATTTGCTGAAATCCTAACCTCCATTGTGATGGTTAAGAGGTGGGGCCACTGGGAAGTAATTAGATCATGAGGGTGGACCCTTCATGAATGGGGTTAGTGCCTTTATACAGTACAGGAGACAGATGACAGTTCTCTCTGCCATATAATGATACAAAGAAAAGAACAGCCATCTGCAAACCAGGAAGAAGGCCTTCACCAAGAACTCAACCACGTTGGCACCTGATCTGGGCTTCTGCCTCTACAACTAAGAAATCCTTGTTGTTTGAGCCACCTAGTCTATGGCATTCTGTTATAGCAGTCTGAACAAAGAAGGGGAAAGGAAATGTAAGCTGGAAGGACCTGCAGAGTGAGAAATAAAGACCTATGGTATATCAGCAGACAGACCCATGAGGCAAGAAGGAAGGAGCTAGTCAAAAAATTCTGATCTAGCCGAAACCGGTTTGGCTCAGTGGATAGAGCGTCAGCCTGCGGACTGAAAGGTCCCAGGTTCGATTCCGGTCAAGGGCATGTACTTGGGTTGCGGGCACATCCCCAGTGGGGGATGTGCAGGAGGCAGCTGATCAATGTTTCTCTCTCATCGATGTTTCCAACTCTCTATCTCTCTCCCTTCCTCTCTGTAAAAAATCAATAAAATATATTAAAAAAAAAATTCTGATCTAGTGAACAAGGTACTAACTAGATTAGGAGTCATAAGACTATAGTTTCCCTATTGACAGAAGCCACTTGTCCCTCTGTATCTCAATTTTTGTATCTGTATTTACATCTGAGGATTTGATGATAATAAAATAATAATGCACATAAAAATATACTAGGTAAAAAAAAATTCATGGCAAAACCAGTAATTCAAATTATGTTATAACAGTTATACATATTTACAAGCAAAGTGACATTTTCCGTACTGTCTATCAGCTTCTTATCCATACTACACTTCTAACAATTAAGAGTTTACTAGTGGTAATAGTAATTATTTACTCTACCTTTGCAGTCAGGAGTAGGGCTAAAAGAAGGGTTCCTATTACTAACAAAAATATGATGAAAATGCTAATTATTTTGTCTAACATCTTCTCCAACCAGATGATAATCTGCACAGAAATAAAAGAGAGGATTACTTAGCTGTAAAGTACAACTTAACAAAAACACATATGTATTCAAATATAATGAAGACAAAATAGGATATTCAACACTGCAAAGCAAACTATGGAACAATGACTAAAGCAGTGAAAACTGTAAGCAACTTTATAAAATTAGGTATTAATTATTGCCGTTACTAGTATATAAAGAGCTTTTTATTGTCACATCTAAGAAAAAGCAGTCAAAGTGAACATAATCATTATGACTGAACTGTCATATTATGGTAATTTACATTTCAAATTATAATTTACTAGAGGCCTGGTGCATGAATTTGTGCAGGGGGGGGTGGGGTGTTGCGGGGGTGGCTCTGGCCAGCCTGCCCCGATCAGGGCCAATTGGGCTGGGCCGGCTGGGGGAAGGGGCCGTGGGTGGTTGGCCAATCCTCGCTGCCTCCTGATCGCATTGTATGCGGTTGAACTCCGGGTTGAGGGGACAATTTGCATATTAGCCTTTTATTATATAGGATAATCTGGTAAATATTTCTAAACAAAATAATGATAATCAATTAGCTGACCTCAAATCTTTTGAAATTTTACTGTCAATTAGCAAATATAGATGACTTTAGAAAAAGTGTGACTTTTATAAAAATAGGTCCTAAATTATATATAGATAAAATAGGAGCAAATTAAAATAGGAATTACTTTCAATATATGCTTTCCTTTTGATATCAGTAGGATTACAAAACCAATAATAAAAGCCCAATGTTACGGTAATGATAGATACCCATCTCAGAATAATAGTTACTCTGGGTGGGGAAAGGGTCAGGGAGGGATACTAAATGGGCTTCAATTATATAAGTAATGTTTTATGAAGTTGGAGGGTAGTCTCATGAGTATTCTTTACATCTTTTACTATTTAAAATAATTCATAATAAAATACTCATAAAAATCTGGTATTCTGTTGGAAATTTCTATACTTTTTTTATAATACAAGCTTTGTGACAAGTTATAACTGACTGCAAATAAAAAATAATCATTAATGTAGTGGTTATTCCTAAATCAATAATTAAAAGTATGCTCTCCCTCAATGCTATTTGACATTCTATTTTGAGTTTAACTTTTCTCATTTTTCACAATCACAAATAATCCCACATATAAAAACTTTTATTTTCAGAATATATCATTCCGATAAATGTGTAGAATTCTTGCCATGCAAAGCTAGTATTTAACATTTCAAAAATACAACCAATTAGACTGGTGACTGCTGAAACACCACATTGCAACCCTCAACTCTAACATGAACTACAATGTTGCTGGTTAAGATATTCTTCACTTAAATCTGAAATATGCTCTCCAAACAGTGAGTTAAACATCCAAAAGCAAAGAATGGTTATTAAAAACAACAACACAAAATAACATGACTTCTAAAAAATTAATTTCCATTCAAGGCTCACAAGCTTGCATTCCCTTTATCTTTCATGAAGAATCCTGTCACGAAGAGATCAATGCTACAGTAAACTCAAAGATAAAAAGTTCATCTTCTATCTTGACTGTTACAGCTTCAAATAGAAGAGTTAATTTAAAGTGCATGCCACCAAAGCATGGAAGACAATGCAGAGATTAAAAAAAATAATAGTAACAGATTTCTAAGATATGGAAGGTCAATGTCATATTTTGAATGTAAGTTCTAAAATCAATGAAACTGAAGAGTTTCACAATCAGAAACCAACTCTACACATAGTTCTTGAGACAACTTCCTGAATAAAGGGCTAGTGTTGTATTACTCCTCTTTGTTCCCTAAAACCTAACAGTGCTCAGTTAATATATATATCTAAATAGGCAAGCATAAATAATTTCAGAAATAAGACCAGATTTGTATTCACAAATTATAATTTCTGAAAATAACTTGAGAGCCTCCATTTTTTTTTAGAAAAGTCATATCCTAAAATGTATTTTTAAACATAAATGATGTTCTGTTTACAAAGTATAAATATCTAAATTTAGCCCTAGTTGGTTTGGCTCAGTGGATAGAGCATCAGCCTGTGGACTGAAGGGTCCCGGATTCAATACCGGTCAAGGGCACATGCCCAGGTTGCAGGCTCGATCCCCAGTAGGGGGTGTGCAGGAAGCAGCCCATCAATGATTCTCTCTCATCACCGATGTTTCTATCTCTTTCTCTCTCTTGCTCTCTGAAATCAATAAAAATATATTAAAATAAATAAATACATAAATAAATAAATGAATTTATGTCTGGGTATTTTTAACATATAAACCATGGAATATTCACAAACACATTATGTACATCAACATTACAAAATTAAATGTTATATTTTTCAACCAGGGTAGAATTTTCCTATCACAAGCTGTATAACTAAGGGTGGGAAAAAATCCATAGTAAGCGTTACCTAAATAAAAATTTATATTCAAGGAATAACAGTAAGGGTTATCTGTTTCATTCAAAATTTAAAATAAAACTATTTAGGAACCTCCATTCATAAGCTAAAAAAAAGTTGGAGGAGCTTCTATTCACATTATGGGTGGTTAAGATTAGATTTAAAAACAAAACAAAACACAGGACAAAAAGAGACAGCAAAAGAGAGAGAGAAGCCCTGGCCAGGTGGCTCAGTTGGTTGGAGTGTTATCCGATACACCACAACCACAAGATTTCGGGTTTGATTCCAGTCAGGGCGCATACAAGAGGTAACCAATTGATGTTTCTCTCTCACCTTTTTCTCTCTTTCTCTCTCTCTCTCTCTCTCTCTCTCTCTCTCTCTCTCTCTCTCTCTCATCAATTAAAGAAACATATCCTCGGGATAGGCTTAGAAAAATAAACAAGAATAAAGAAAGAAATAAAAGTCAAGAAAAAGAAGAAACAAATGTGGAGAGGGAGTTGGTATATAGAACAGAGGCCCCAAAGAGGAGAAAAAAACAAAACGGATACAAAACTTATAGGGGGAAAAGAATTCCCTGAAAGAGTGAATGAATGGAGCAGGACTCACAAGGAAACAGAAACTCAGACACAGGAAGAGAAACACGCAGAGGAAGCCACGGAGAGGGGGCAGGTGGAGGAGAAGCCTGAAGGAATGCTGGAGGTGCTGTCCCGTGAGGCTGACCCTGCTCTTGCTCTACGCTGGGCAAAGGAAACCACACCCCGTCACCACTGCCTTGCTCACGGAAATCACAGTCCCTAGAACTTTCCCCAGAAATCATTTTAGTGGTTAAACTTTATTTTCTAAAAGGGGAAGAGAAAAAAACTTTAAGTGACATTCTGGGTGTTTCAAGTGTAAAAATTTAGAGATGTTGGTAAATTTATAGTCATATCAAAGACACTCAAATTTCTAAACTCACTGGCCTTATTTATCAAGCTATTAAAAAGTGTCCTGCCACTACTTATGTTTCTAGTCTATCATGAATGTAGGTTTTTATGATGCTTTCTCTTTTTAACTAAATTAAGCCTTGAGAAATCGGTTGCAATTTTAGTTAACCGTAAGATTTGTCCTCTTTCACCCTCACTTCTCATTTTCCTAATTCACTCCACTTGAGCTCGGAATACTAAATACCCAATGCTGCAATTTCTGACCTTGGATGTAAGTAATGAAATGATCTTCAACTTATTTGAGTGCTTTCCTGGAGCACACACTCTCAGAACTGCAAGCAGTTACTCCAGCTCCACACCAATGCTTTACCTATGCTACATGGCATCAGCAAGGAAAAGACAAAAGCTACTTAATCTCTTAGGAATGTTTTAAAACTCACTCATCAGCTGGAATTTGGCTCATGAATTAGGTAATCTAACTTTACTTTAAATCAAACCTAATGACGTTAGGTCTCCTTCCATCTTTTGAGGAAAATTTCATTTCAATATATAGGTTGTCCCCAACAAATGTATACACACACTTTGAATAATTATAAAGGCAATGTCTAGTAAAATACATTTCATTTTCAAAGTTGAGCTATCAGATGTTAAAGTATATACACATTTTGGGGGGATACCCTGTACATATACAAATTAGGAAAATACATTTAAACCACTGCTTTGATCAAAATAAGAAAATGTGACATATGTCTGAAGCACTATCATCTGCCAAGGATTATACTCATTTACTTACACTAGTTTTGTAGGGAACAGGTATATGCATCCATACGTGTGTGTGTGTGTGTGTGTGTGTGTTAAACAGGTATATGCATCCGTGTGTGTGTGTGTGTGTGGTGTGTGTGTGTATTTGTGTAGACATACGTGCAGTTGTGGTGTGTATCTATTTATACTCCACACATTGTTTATTCTCAATCCAAAGTTTAGGTCAAAAGTCTCCCCTTTCCCGTTTCAACAAATTGAAACCCTAATCTCTACATATAAAAGTGTCATTCGGACCTATTTCCAAGTACCACATCTTTCTTAAAGACTGTAACAATATTTCCACTAAAAACTTTTAGTCTTACTGTGTTTAAACATAATACATGTAAATGATGTCACCTTTTGCTATCTGTCCTAAGTACTGAATGAAATTATATCTAGAACTACGTATGCAGACGTTGTTAGAGGTATAGCTCTCCTAATACATCTGAAGTTATTAAAGTTATTGAAGTCTTTAAAAAATGTACCTTTAGAATCCCAAGCCAGTCATGGAAACCATTTACCACAGACACAAACTGTATCTTGGGAAACATGAAATTAGACTTCACAGAACATGACTACCATCTTTTTTAAGTTAAATATAAAATTTTGGAATACTAGTCAAAACCTAAAATTACCAACCTAGGGAATTACACAAATACTTCACAGATTTATCTTCTGAAATCTTCCTGTGTCACTTATTGAAAAACTAGAGGCCCAGTGCACAAAAATTTGTGCACTCGGGGGGAAGGGGAGGGTCCCTCAGCCCGGCCTGTGCCCTCTCGCAGTCTGGGACCCCTCGGGAGATAACAACCTGCTGGCTTAGGCCTGCTCCCGGGTGACAGAGGGCAGGCCCAATCCCTGGTCGGGCTCAGAGCAGGGCCAATTGGGGAGTTGGGGCACCGCCTCCGTCACACTCAAGGCAGG